GCCCCGCCGCCCCGCCACCCCACCGCCCCGGCGCCCCGGCGCCGCCCATCGCCAGCCGCCGCCGCCGTTTTCATGAAGCGATCATAGAAATATCTTTATTCTAATATAGAATATATCATAATTTGATTTTATCATATAAATATACGTAAATATTATTTTAAGCACTAGCATATATATATATATTATATTATATATAATTCCAATATGAATATTATTTAATTTAGATAGTATATCCAAGATAGATAATATAGATATAATCTTTTCAGTTTATATATTTCAGATAATATATTCAATTTGTATAATCTATATAATCTGTATAATCTATATAATCTATATAATCTATATAATCTATATAATCTATATAATCTATATAATCTATATAACCTATATAATCTATATAATCTATATAATCTATATAATCTATATAATCTATATAATCTATATAATCTATATAACCTATATAATCTATATAATCTATATAATCTATATAATCTATATAATCTATATAATCTATAGAATCTATATAATCTATATAATCTGAATCATCTATATCATCTATATCTTCTATATAATCTGAATAATCTATAGAATCGATATAATATATATAATTTATATAATATTATATATATAGTATATATAATCCAGAAATCTCAATAGTCTTGAGATCCCCATGGGGGAGTCCAAATATACGTCGTGTCTTCCAGACTCCTCTAGATACTAATATTTATAATCTTCCAGGAAGAATTTCTCCGAAGATATAGATTAAAATTAATATCATATCTAGAAGAATCAGAAAATTCTAAATATCAAATAATATTAATCCTAGAATATTCTAGAAGATATGAATCCCCCTATCAATACTTCAAGCATTCTACCGATCATACAATTTATATCGATCAAATTTTTAATAAATTCTATGAATTCTCGAATATATATCAAAGAATAGAGATATTATATAAAACCGATCCGATATTCTAATATATTTCGACTCGCCCAAATTTTCCTGTTCATTCTCATTTTTTCTTCGACCTAAAGAAATTTTCCCCCAAATCAATCTCATATATATATATATATATATCTTATGACCTAGATCTTAGATCGAATCAATCTATTGAATAAATATATTCCGAATAAATAAAGAACTAATTTATCGAGATCTTATTCTCAAATAGAAGAGGAATTTCGAAAATTTCTCACAAAAATCTTATTGAAATCTAGGTCAGTTTTATCCCTATATATATATATATCTAGAAAAGTTTCCTATCTATCCATAAGATTCCTTTTTATCGCACGCGAGGATAAATTTCATATGATTTGGAGGTCAAGATATAGGGGAATGAAAATTAAATTAGGTAAGTAATCTTATGAGAATCTTGCTAAATTAGGCAAGTAATCCTATATAATATTTATTATTATTATCGACAAATATTCAGGAAAAGATCTAAAAAAAAATCATATTTCGTTATAGACAGAAATAGAATAAATCAGATGAGAGAGAACGAAGAAGAGATTAGATATCGAGAAGAAAAGAATAATAATGTCTTATAGAATAGTATTTTCGAGATATTTACGAAATTTATCAATTCTATATAAATTTGAATCTATAATTAGTAAAAATTTATGGGATCTATGAAATTTATCGATTGGATGCTTGAGGTCTCTTGAATCTATATAATAATCGATTCTTCTCCTTTCTTTCTCTCTCTTTTTAATGTTTCTCATATCTCCTCTCTTTCTCTCTTATTTTTCTCTCCTTATCAATCTTTCTTTTATAATCTTATTCTTCTTTTTATTATAGATTCTCTTCTCTTTTCTTTCTACTTTTATTTCATTCCATTCCCTGAAACTTCGCGTCTCCATTTATTTCTAAATAAATTCCCTTTCTTTTCTCTTTCTATATTTTTATCATCTAGCATCCATATCTTCTTTTCTCTTCCTATTCCTCATTTCTCTTATCTCTCTTCTTCTTCATCATTTCTTTTCTTCCTAATTACGCCAAATCGATATATTTTTATGTCGAGTTTTATGATCTTCTTAGATATTTATTTAAGATAATTAAGAAAAACGATATAAATGCCCTACCAATAATTCTTTTTTATCGTAGTAGAAAAAGAAAAATTATTGCCCTCTTTTTCGTTATATAAAATCATCATACGAGCTACGACGACTATTCGATATATAGCGCACGACCCACGATCTATAACGTAATGATAATATTATATCAATACACGACGCATGACATACGACTCCCGACACCCGACACAAAACACCCGCCACACGACACATCATACAACACACAACACGCAACGCACAACGCACAACAGAAATACACATACACACACAGCACACAAAACACAGATAACACGCACACACACACACACCCAACACGCGCAACAGAAAACACGCACACAGCATCACACAGCACACACACACAACATACACAACTCGCGCAACACACACACACACAACACACACAACACACACAACACACACAACGCACACAACACACACAACACACACAACACACACAACACACACAATACACAACACACACAACCCACACACCACACAACACCGCACGACACAACAGACAATACGCGCACTGCACACACCACACCGCGCACACTCCTCTAGAAGGCTCATCTAATCGTTCATCACCATCTACGGACATACTCATGCGGGGTTCTCCGGTCCTTCAATTTATCGGGTTCCCTTTAAGGCGTTCGAACAGGGTTTGGGGTAGGGAGCCTCATCGGTGCGGTACAGAGCTGATTTCAATTTACTAACTAGTACTAATACTTACTAATACTAGTACTACTAATTACTATCTTAAAACAACTTATTGAAACTATTATACTACTACTAATACTACTAATACTTCTACTGCTGCTACTACTACTACTACTCCGACTACTACTACTACTACTACTACTACTACTATTACTACTACAACTACTACTAATTTTAATTTGAATCAAAATTTCAATTTCAATTTACATTTTAATTCTAATTTTAATTTCAGTCTTAATTTGAACTTATTGGTTTCCAATAGACTG